TTATGGACACAATTCGTAAGGTCATATTCACTTTCTGCATGCTGCTTCTTCAGCCTAGTGTTTAACTCCATGTTTTATATGTGGTGGTTTAAAGTAAACATGAAGCGTGGCCTCGGGTGCGGCATGAAGGAGAGTGAGGTCAGCGCGAGTGGGGGGGCCTGGGTCAGGGGCCCAGGATGATAATGCTGTTGCCTGATATCTCTGCGGTTGAGGGTTCGAGTCTGTGTGTGCAGATGGTCCCCCGGTGCCCTGCGCTGCCATGGCTCCAGGGATGAATGAACTGATGTTGCGTTTCTCTAAGGCTTTGCAGTGTCTGCCGGCACTGAACCAGACTGTAAATGTAGTCGGCTGTGAGGACTCACCTTCTGGAAGCTTTTAGTCTGTTCTTGGCAGTAGCCGGTACGGTGTCGGGATAACCCCGCCCCCTTTGCTCCTGGGTGCAGGGAGGGACGTCGCTCCCTTGATGCTGGACTTCATCGACTGGCTGACCAATCAGGACTTCGGGAGGCGCTGCATCCTGAGCGTGCGGGACATCTTGTCCTGGGTGTACTTCATGAACCGTGTCTGCGCGCAGGAGGGGGGCGAGGAGTGCCAGGCGGCCCTGGGCGCGGTGACGGCGTTCGTGCACGCGGCCTGCCTCGTGTACATCGACGGGATCGGCTCCGGTGAGTCTGTGGATGGAGATAGAAAGGCAGATGAGTGAGTGGCTGGCTCTTGGTAGTCCTTTGCTGGTGTATACAATTCTGGTGTGCAAAATTGGCAACAGTGATCCCTCAACTGGTTCCAGTTAAACATAAAAGTATTTGGGCTGCCAAAACTGCCTCATGTTTGTATGGGAGAAGAAAGTCAGTGAACATATTTATAGTATGTATAGTATGTACAGTATGTACAGTATGTACAGTATGTATAGTATGTACAGTGCTCGCACATCTTGGGACACTCACTTAATTCTGTAAAAATTTATTAGTTTCATAACTTTGACAAGCAATCTTTAACATACCTGCATATATCTTCCTCAAACATTTTCTTTTTATTAAATGTTGTAATTTTTTTGACTCATTCAGTTCTGTTCTTGCCTTTTTTGCTGTTTTTACATTTGCTGAGACTTATCAGTCTGTTTTTAATCCAGAACAGCGCTTTAAGAACTATAGTTTGGGTTTCAATATATTACTAATCAAAATGAATGAACTTCTGCCGACTATATTTTATAAATTTGCAAGATTTTTTGCTGAATTAAGCCGGCCTCCCCTGTATGTTTCCGTGTAAATGTTCACATGTGAATATGCGTGTGTATGGCGTGTTCAGGCACCACCGCAGCCTCCGCAGAGAGCGCACTGCTCCATCGCCGCGCCTGCCTGGCCTTCCTGCAGAGCAGGCTCCAGCGAGATGCCGGAACCTTCCGCGTCTATGATGTCGTCTCGTCGCGGGAGCCTCAGTGGGGAGAGAACTGCTTTGGCATCGACCCGTTCTACATCACCACAGGTCTCTAAAGCCTGGAAGTCTTCAGTGGACTGCTGGTTATGTGTAACGCAGAACTAGTATTCTGGTTAGGATCTAGGAGATTGGTGCCGGGGGTCAGATTTTGGGGATTTCTCTTACAGGTCCGGAGATTGAGTCCCAGAACCTGCTGGACTACGCCCTGGGAGCAGGAACCACCGCCATCAACGCCCAGCGAGTCCTCCGAGCCTTGAAGCTCCAGCGGCCTGTCCTTCTGGAAGGTTCTCCCGGTGTGGGAAAGACCAGCCTGGTGGCGGCCTTGGCCAGAGCGTCCGGACACCATCTCGTCCGGATCAACCTCTCCGAGCAAACCGTACGTCTCCTGTAGGCAGCGTGGTCTGTAATGTCCTGCGCGAGTTACCGTGTGGAAGCAGCTCAATGAAAATCCATCCTGGGGGGTGACAACTGAGGGTGATGTTCTGTGAGCAGGACGTGACCGACCTGTTTGGGACCGACCTGCCGGTGGAGGGAGGTAAAGGCGGAGAGTTTGCATGGAGAGATGGACCACTGCTGGCTGGGCTGAAAGCTGGGCACTGGATCGTCCTCGATGAGGTACACACACCTCAACCCCTGCTTAAAAACACACACACACATACACACACACACACACACGCTTACGTCTTGTCTTCTCTTCCAGCTGAACCTGGCCTCGCAGTCTGTCCTGGAAGGCCTGAACGCCTGCTTCGACCACCGTGCAGAGATATACATCCCTGAGCTCGGCATGAGCTTCCACGTGCAGCACGAGAAGACGAAGATCTTCGGCTGCCAGAACCCTTTCACCCAGGGCGGGGGGCGTAAGGGGCTGCCCAAGTCCTTCCTCAACAGGTTCACGCAGGTGGGCTGATGCGAGGCGCTCACCTTCCCGTCGCGTCGCCGCCGTGTCCCTGTCCTGCTGATGATCACCTCGCTGTTCCTCCTCCAGGTGTATGTGGACCAGCTGTCCAGTGAGGACATGGAATTCATCGGTGGCTCCATGTTTGCCTCCATAGATGACCACATCATCTCCAAAATGGTGCAGTTCAACAACCGGGTATGCAGCGCCCCCTGCTGGCAAAGCCCTCAGAGCTCGGCCCAATCCCATGACTAAATATGGAGATAAAAACGTATTAAATAAACTTGACTGGGCTTGTGCACCTGCCCTGGCCGGGTGGGCTGACGTCCCCTGCGGACAAGGACGCGTCCGTCAGCATATTATATGGTGATGTGCCCAGGCAGTCTGCGAGTCTCCCAACCCGCGAAGAGACCACTGGCACATTTGTACACATCTAAACTGCTTTTATCACACTTTATAATGTTAGCAACTAGCTGACTAGGCTAGAATGTCTCTACACTGTCAGTCTGGCCATGCAAGGCATTAAAATACACTTTAATGAATGATTGTAATATCAGCATCGGTCTGAATGCAGCAAGAGCTGCTCTTCTGATTGCTTCACCGTCCTGCTCCCAGCTCGTCCAAGAAGTCGCACTGGAGAGGAGGTGGGGCCAGAGGGGCGGCCCCTGGGAGTTCAACCTGCGCGACATGTTCCGCTGGTGTCAGCTGATGCAGGCCGACCAATCGCCAGGCTTCTACAACCCGGGCCAGCACGTGGGCCTGGTGTACGCTGACCGCATGCGGACGGAGGCGGACAAGTCACAGGTAGCGCCGCTCACCCTAACCCTCCATCGACATGCCGGTGTGTCAGTAGCTACATGACACCAGTGATTTCATTTGTCATATTTTTCTTTTCTTTGAAGGTCGTCTCTGCGTTCAGGAAGGTTTTCGGTGAGGACTTTGAGCCTTATACCGGTTCCCGGCAGTTCCATGTCACACCACTTAACCTTCAGGTCAGTCCAGCGTTCACAATGTGTTCCATTGTGGTCTTGTCTCAGTGATTGTTGACTCAAGAGCGCCCCCTAGCTGTGACCCGCCTCTCTCAGAGCCCCCCCCTTGCTGTGACCCGCCTCTCAGAGCCCCCCCTAGCTGTGACCCGCCTCTCTCCTGGCTCTCTTAGGTGGGTTACTCGGTCCTCCCGCGCAGTGGGGGCCCTTCCGTGGCCCTGGAACCCCCCCTGTCCGTGAGCCACCAGGCACTGCGGCCCCTGGAGTCGCTGATGAAGTGTGTGGAGATGGGCTGGATGGCGGTGCTTGTGGGCCCCTCAGCGAGCGGCAAGACGAGCCTGGTGCGTCTCCTGGCCCTGCTGGCCGGCCACCGGCTCAGGGTCATGGCCATGAACAGCGCGATGGACACCACCGAGCTGCTGGGGGGCTTCGAGCAGGTAGCGTGTAGGAGGAGGCCGCCTGCTGGCCGTTCTGGGCCGTCTCGAGTCTTTGGTTAGGGGTGGAGCCACTGGGGCAGGAGCTGAAAGCTGATAGGCCCCTGGAGTACCCCCTCCCCTGTCAATCATCAATTCACAGCAAATCATTGGCTAATTATAGGGTTGGCCCCACTTATGTCTCAACCTTAAGAAATCCTTGACCTGCCCCTGTTTTTGGGCCCCTTGCGGTGAAGTTCAGGAACTTGTCCCCGTTCCCAGGTGGACATCATGCGGCCCTGGCAGCAGCTTCTGGAGAGCGTGGACTACGTGGTAGCCATGGTGACGCGCCGCGGCCTGATGACGCTGGAGGGAGCGGTGCAGGACATCGAGTTCCTGCTGAGGAACTGGAGCGTCTTCTGCCGGTGGCTGAAGGAGGAGAGGCTGGTGGGCCCAGACGGGCTGGTCACCATGGAGGCCGTCGACAAGCTGGAGGTCATCATCACGCTGCTGCAGAAGCTCAATACCAAACTCAAGGTTTTCGCAGGTGGAGTCACCGCGGGGCTCGGCGTTGGTCTCAGCTTAAAGACGACTTGGGTTTTTTTGGGTTTATCTCCATGGTCTTGATGGTCATGCCTGGTCTGGCTTCCCTCAGACATGTCCAAGCTGCTGCTGGACTTCACGCTGCTCCGGGAGCGGCTGGCCCAGATGCAGGACGGCTGGAATCAGGGCGGCTTCGAGTGGCTGGATGGCATGTTGGTCCAGGCTCTTCAGGCCGGTGACTGGCTGCTCATGGACAACGTGAACTTCTGCAGGTAGGTCACTGAGTCTCATTCCTGCCTGATCTGCTTCTGCCATCACAAATGCTGCGTTTCCTTGGAGACTAAAAGATTTCTAGGAAATGAACAAAGGAATCGGTAATAAAACCCTTTCCTGAGCTCCATGAGGATTGTGGGTCAGTGCTGCTATCGATGTTTCAGGCCTGATCTTTCGTACCTCGTGTCTCTCTCGTGTCTCATTGGCTCTTCCTTGTGTGAAGCCCCTCAGTTCTGGACCGCTTGAACGCGCTGCTGGAACCCGGGGGCAGCCTGACCTTAAGCGAGCGCGGCGTAATCGACGGCACCACCCCCTGCGTCACACCCCACCCCAACTTCAGGTCGGCCCCCATCCTTCCGACCCCCAGCTGTATCTCCTGGATTCATTAAGAATGCAGTGATGAACTATCAGAAAAAACTACCAAGTAATTTTAAACAGATAAAACTTTATTAGTAAAAGCCTGAATTATATGCATTTTTTTTTTTTTTTTTTTAAACAAAAATGTGATTTTTAGTTAAGGAAAACAATACTGGTTAGTCACAGATTGTTGTGATTTTACATCTACCAATCAGCTGTATTTTTAGACTGTATGTTTACCATGATCTCGGCGTGCATCGCAAAGCGTGACGTGACCAGGCCTCGGCAATCGAGGAAAAAAAAATGAAGAGGCCGAAGGTTTATATCTGACCTGAGTGCAAACGTATTGGTGGATGTAATATTCAGACACCTTCCGTGGTCACCATGGCGACGAGGCCACTCTGCGCTGGCGGCTGCCCTCCAAACCACATCTCTGATCATCCTCTTTCCAGACTCTTCCTCACCATGGACCCGGCCCACGGCGAGATCTCCAGAGCCATGCGGAACCGCGGGGTGGAGATCTACATCCCCGGGGAGCACGAGGGCAGCGGCTGGGACCTTCTGGACCTGAAGACCATGCTGCAGGCCGCCGGCGTGACCGGGGACTGTGTGGGCGACCTGCTCATCACCATCCACACGGAGGTCAAAGCTGCCATTTGGGGTCAGCTGTCTAAAATAATGTACGTGTTTGGTTCCCTGAACGCGGCTGTGGGTGTGAAGCTCAGCCCGTGGGTCTTTCTTCCTCTGTCCAGATTCTCCAGCCTCTTCACTTACCTCTCTGCTCCACGTCGCTGCCCTGCTGTCCAGCCAGTTGCAGCGTGGGATGGACCTCCTCAGCTCTGTGGAACAGGGCTGTGTGGAGGTCTATTCCCAGAGCCAGCGCAGTGCTGCTAATCAGAAGGTACCCTGGGCGTGGGACACGGTTCAATGTGGGCTGGACTCCAACATCAGCTCTAAGTTCTTACATGCTGTCCGGTGGAAGCACCTCCTCTTACCAAAAATCATGATGCGGTCACTCAAGATAATCCACAAAATTTGTAGTGAGCAGTTTAATAGGAACAATTTTCTTCTACCGAATTCCACACACCAATCGTATCGCTGCGCAGAAGATTTTGCCGGAGTGCTCGCGCTTGTATCCGGTGTTTCACATGTGGGCTGAGATTTTAGATATTCCACTGCATTTAAGTTGAAACGTGGTTAGAAAGTGTGCAAGTCCCATAAACCCATGATCTCAGGAAAGTGGACCAACAAGGCTGACTGTGATTTCAGCAAGCGCTGGAGATCATCGAGAAGCACCTGTCTGCCCTGGACGTGGACAGCTGGGGGCGCCGGCTGCTCTGTGCCGGGGTCTGGCCTGACCGGCTCCCCCCCGCCCTGCTCTCTGCGGAGGATTCCTGCTTCTCTGCCGTCCTGAGAGACGGCCAGGTGCTGCTCTTCTGCCTGAACGCTCTCAGCCTGCAGGGGGAGAGGTGAGAAAGATCACGTGCTGGGCTGGGCTAGGAGGCTCCGTGCGCCAGTACGTGTTTAGGTCCAGGCCCATGTCGTGTGGCACTGTTTTCCCTGTGTATGGTAAAGGGCAACGGGCAGCATAGTGGCCAGGAACACAACAGGGACGTTGCTGGTTTGAGTGCCAGCAGCTCTTATAGAGTAAGCTGAATTACTCCTGAGAGAAAGCAGTATAGTTTACCACATATGGTAACAGCTATTAGTATTCCATACTAGTATACTAATAATACTGAGAGTAACAGGGAATCGGCAGCTGGGCGGCTTTGTGACTTGGCCTCCACATGTGTTTGTGTGAAGGAGTCGTCCTCTGACGCTGAGTGACCTGCAGAGGGCGCTGCAGTGCGGCTCGTCCCTGGATGGTCAGGTGTTCGCCGGTGCCGGGGAGGAGGAGGGGGCCGCGGTCACCCTCCGCCTGCTGCCCACAGCTGTCAAGCTGGTGACGGAGAGGGCGTCGCACGGGGACTGGGTGCTGCGGAGTAGCTGGCTCTCACACCTCTCCAAGAGCTACAGCGCCGTTCCAGGTAGGTCCTGCCCCCACAGGTCGAAGGCGGTCGCAGTTCTGGCGGGACGGGCGGCCTCGTGCATCTTTGACGCCGGTTCTCGGGCCCGTTCCCCTCTGTAGACACAGCGCTTGTCCGCCTGGAGGCAGGAACTCGGGCCCTGAAGGCCGTGTTCTGCAGCAAGCTGACCGAAAAGGGCAAGAACCTGACCGAGCTCCTGCAGCCTCACAGCACAGGTACCCCCCCGCCCCCATGATGTCACAGGACACAGCATCCCCACCACACCTTGGCCAGAGCTTAACTGGACGGCGCTGGTCTCGTTCCTGTCTCCATGCAGATGATTACCGCATTCTGGTGGACATGCGCTGGAATAAGCAGTACCTGGACATTTTAGCCAACACCTGCAGCTTTGAGGACGAGGACCGTTACATGGAGTTCATGGACGCCCTGAACGCCGTGGCTAACAGGTGGGTGCTGGCGGACGGGACGGCCTTGCCCCCCTGTCCAAAATGTAAAGATGCCCCACTTACCTGGGTGGGCAGTCAGTCCTAAACTACAGCAGGGGGTCTTAACTGGATGTTTACAAAGTAAAGTGCGCAGATGGAAGAGTTACACAAAAATACACCACAGCTAGGCTAAAAGAACAAACAAAACACTGATTATAAAAGCAAAACGACGAAGCAACACATTGTTAGTCTATTCAGACACCAAAGAGGAAAACACCACAAAACTGGAAATAGTCACGATACCATCTGGTCCTGTGAAATTATTAATCAGTAAAGCAATTGACCAATAAACCAAGAAATCCATAACGCATACCAGAGGCTGAGAACCACATGGTCTCACCACAATCCGGTATAAAAATATCAGACCTGAGTATGAATGACTTTAGTACCACGGTATAGAGGATCGAGCTGCAGAAGCGGGATGTAACCTTCAGCACGGCTCTGCAGGATAATCCTGCTGACGGACCGGGAGGAACAGGCCGCTGTAGGTGTGTCCACCATGAAGACCACGCCCCACAACAGCGTCCTCAGGCTGGCCTCCGCCTTCTCCAAAGGTACGGGGCCTCCTCCAGGCACGGGGGCCTCCTCCAGGCACGGGGGCCTCCTCCAGGCACGGGACCCTCCGCTGGCGGGCTCTGCCGCGGCCCGGTAACGCCGCGTACGGCCTGGGCTCGGCTGGGGTGCGGTAACGCCGCGTACGGCCTGGGCTCGGCTGGGGTGCGGTAACGCCGCGTACGGCCTGGGCTCGGCTGGGGTGC